TTAAAAGAATTACGAAATGTTAAGGGTATTTTAGGTAGTTTATATGTTTGAATAGTGAAATGGGTTAGTTTGGGGTTAGTTTGGAATTTTGGCTTTGAATTTGGGTCATTTAGTGGTATATCCCCCTCAAGTGTGTGCGCATTTTTTTTTCATTTCTTATTTTTTATTTAATTATATAATGTGATAAATGGAAAGTTACTTTTTTTGCCACTTTTTAAAATATTAAAAATGTGGTCAAAATTAAATTTTTTGTCAACTAACAGAATTATTGATGGAAAACGGCTGCAACTATCAGAAGTTTGGTAAAAGTCTGTTAATATTTCAAAAGTTTGGAACTTTTACTGTAATTATCCCTGACTTTTATATTATTAAAAGTCTCTTTCTTTCCACTTAGCATTATTTTTATATTTCTCTGCATATAGTATTTTGTGCATTTCAGAAAGTGTTGGAAAAATTACAATTAAACCCCCTGTTTATCCATATTTTTTCAAATTTTTTTTTTCAAACACACATTATTCAATAAAATAATATTTTTCATCACATTCAAAACTTTTCCTTATTTTTAAGTACATATTTTTCATCACATCACTATTTAAAATACATTCTTCCTTCGATAATATGTATCAAACACCTCTAAATACCAGTGTTCTAAAACGCGGGAAAAGGCGCCGCGTAGGCGCGCCTAAGCGCGAAGCGTGGCCTCAACGCCTCGCATTGGCACTATGCGTGAACAAATGCGGTCGACACCCACGTTGACCACTGAAACTCACGCCTACACTCAATAATGCACGCATTTTTCATTTTTTTATTTAATTATATATTTTTAAAAATTTACTTTTAATTAAATATACCAACTTCCAACCCACTAAAAGGCAGGCCCAGGAAGCATACTTAGCCATTGTTGGCCCATTTATTTATAGACATCATTTCTGGTGCTTCCTCTGTGGGATTCCGATGTGGGATTCCAATTGATATCAATGTTTGAGTTGTTCTTCACAGTGCTTCCTCCTCCTCCTCACTGCTGCTGCAAATTAATATACCAGGCACCAGCCCAATTGCTCAACCTCCTCCTCCTGCTGCTGCCCTTCGACCGCCCCTAACAAATTCGAGAAATAGCA